GGTGAAAGGCATAATACCAAAATCGAAGAAAGAAAAACATGGTGGGACTTCTACAAGGAAGAGCGATCGCCTTATGACTTTGAAAACACGTGACATTAGTAGTCCATGGAAATATGCTGAGGATCCACTTGTGATATCAGAAGAGGACATAGAAGTTGACAGAGCTAATGGAAAGAAGTCTTTGAAGAGCATCGAGAAGATCTTGATGAATACTATGTTTATTAGATAATTTTGTACTCTTGTTTTGAACTTGTGGATTAAGCACTCTTTTGATTTGTGTGTACTCTTATTTTGAACATGTGTGTTATGCACTCTTTTGTACACTTGTTTTGTATTCTTGTTACCATATGTATTCTTGTTTTGAACATGTTCATTATGCAATCTTTTGTATTAAGATGTTGAGATATGGTTTGCAAAAATGTGTCAATTTACAATCCTTACATAGAATCAGTAAACTCTGAAATAATCCTCAAAATATGTCAAATTTACAATACTGGTAGTGAATCATTTAACACAATTAAACCACAAAAAAATACTCGTACATTTAACAAGAACTGGTAATCTTTCATTAAACTCATTAACAATACTTATACATTACAATTGAACTACATGATTGTTAACCAAAGATTCATTTCATACCTAAACCACTATTCAACACATACATTTCAACACCAAATAAACATTGAACTAAAATGAAATAGCAAGACACGTCTTTTTCATTTTTCCAGAAAATTCCTCTTCTTGGAGTTTGTTCTTCAGAATTTTGTTCTTCTTCGTATCCGCGTACAACTCTTTCAAATATTACATTGCTTCCATATCTTCATAATCTATCTTCAACTTGATCCCATCATGATTTCCAGATTCTACCATGTCATCATCCCAGATAACCAAATCACAAGTTTCAGCACTATTTCAGAAGGGACATCTCCAAAATAGTCTCCCTTTGTTGGCTCCCTTCTTGCATTGGTAAGAGATCATTCGACCATTGCAACCACATAAACGGCCAGCTCCATATTTTGTAGAGGAAGATGAATATGAACCGCCTTTAGATGAGTTTGACTTTAAAAACCCCATGGAATACAAGAAAAAATATGAAGGGGAAGAAGTTGTGGGTAGCGATGATGAAAATCAGATGGAGGCGACACACAAAGGAAAGAGGAGCTAGGTCAATGAATATTTTGGTTTTTTTTTATTAATCAGTCATATATCATGTATGAATTGAAATAATATATTATAATCATTAAAAAATATTAAATGAATTTATATTACACGTGTCATATCACGTAAGTTGCCGTTAGCTCCAATTAACGTCAGAGACTAATATTGTGGATGAAAATTTTTAGAGGGACGATTCATTAAAAGAAATGTTTAAAGGAACTAAACTTGAAAACTACATTATTTAGAGAGACCAATAAGATATTTAACTCTATTTTTATTTCAAAGAAGATGGTTTGACTAGGCTTGACTTGCATGTAATGTTGCAGGTTCAGTTGTTTTTAGGGACGAGAGGATTAAAAAAGGGTTTTAGAGTGGATGACAATATTAATTGTGGACAATATAAATTCTCAAATTTGTGGACAATACAATTTTAGCAGGAAAAGGATTTTGGGAGAGTTTATTAAGTAAACTATACATAATTAATTTGAATAAGAGTTTTTTGCTAATTGCTTCTACCTTTTTGTCCTGCTGCGTGGATTCATTTCCATTCAAGTTTTTTGGATTATCGGTAGGGTCTAATTCGAAGAGATGTACAGTGTGAATTTTGGTTACACAGAACATACAAAAGAGATTCTCATCTTGGAAGGGTTGACATTTGTCAATTGGCTGAAGAGTGGTTATGCTAAATTTGGTACTCAATATCATATCGTTATACTTACTCTTCTTTTACAAAGCTCCAAGGAAAGTTCTAACTGATATTATCAAAATTCAACGCTCGTTTCTATGGAGTGGCAAAGAAGACATCAAAGAAATTAGTTAGATCAGTTATACCATTCAAACCAAAAGAAATTGGAGTACTTGAAGTCAAGAACATTAGGAATTCAATATCTCACTGTTAAGAAAATGGAAGTAGCAGATAATCAACTAATAAAATATAATTTGAAGTTGGATTTGGTAGAGAGAATCATGGTTCAATCCCCGTAGCTGCGATCGGGAGGAAATTGAAACGGTTGAAAATAATTTATATTTTAGGAATATCTTGTTGACTAAGTATGTTAGAGGGTATTTTAGTATTTTATTATACCCTAATATTGTGTATAAATAGCCTAGTAGTAGGTAGGTCAATGTATTCATTACTCTTTATTTTGTAGCCGCCATTTAATATATTTATTTTGTCTTTCATCTCTCCTTTATGCACCAACAATTGATATCTAGAGCTTCGGTTTGAAATCCACGGGAAACACGAGTGAACAGTGAGGTGTTGTGTGATTGAGAATCACATTTTTTTGATTCTGTGAGATTTTGGAAACATTGTGTGTTAGTGATTTTTTTAGTGAACTGTACAAGGTTGAAGATGAACGGAAACTGCGAAACCATTTCCAAGTTTCTAGTGTTTGATGGCAAAAACTAGTATCGTTAAAAAATTCAGATGCCTGTGTTGTTCGGTTCTCAAGATGTGTTAGATCTTGTTACTGATGGTTATGCTTCATTAGCAACAGACGCAATGGAGGCACAAAAGACAATGCAGAAGGCGATAAGGAAGAAAGATCATAAAACATTGTTCTACATTCATCAGTGTATGGATGCAAATGTGCTTGATAAGATTGTTGGCTCTGAAATAACAAAGGTTACGTGGGACACACTGGTCAGATGTTACGGTGGTGACGCATCAGTGAAAAAGGTGAAGCTTTAGTCCCTAAGAAAGCAATATGAGAATCTCAACATGAAGAACAATGAGAAGGTTTCTGAGTACATCTCTATAGTGATTCTGATCACTAATGAGATGAAAGTTTGTGGAGAAACCCTTTCTGAACAAGTAATCATAGAGAAGGTATTGAGATCTTTAACTTCTCAGTTTAATTACATTGTGGTAGCAATTGAACATTCCAAAGATCTAGAAACCATGAGAATAGAAGAGCTGCAAAGCATTCTAGAGGCGCAAGAGTTGTGTCTGACTGAAAGAACTTCTGATAGGGAAGTTGAGCAGGCTCTGGAAGCTTCTTTTGTCAAGAAGGACCAAAAGCATAAAAAACACGGTAGTTCCCAGAAGTCAGAAGTCTTCTATTCTGATGAAAAAAACATCATAAGGGAAAGGAGAAGTATGACAAGAGAATGGTTCAGTGTTACTGTTGTAATAGGTTTGGCCACTTTGTTAAAGATTGTTGGTCAAACAAAGACGAAGCAAAAATAGCCATAGGAGATTCTGATGATGAACCTGTGCTATTAATGGCTTATGAATCTGATGAGGAACCTGTGAAATTATCATTTTCAAATTCTGAAGGAGAAGGAGATGACTCTAAATATTCTGACTTTGAAGGAGTGTTTGAATATGAGTCAGAATCAAAAGATGACACTGAAGATTCTGAAGATAAGTCAGAATCTGAGGTTCCTGAAGATGAGTCAGAGTTAAAAGATGACTCTGAAGCTGAAGAGAAGTGAGAATCTGAAGGTGATTCTGAGTCGAAGAATCAGAAGATGAGTCAGAATTTGAAGAAGATTTTGCTTCTGAAGATGATTCAGAACTTGAAAGTTCTGAAGGTGAGTGAGAGTCAGAGGATGAAGAATCTTCTAGAGACTCTAAAGATGAGTCAGATGGTGAATCTGATTCTGATCCAGATTTTAAATATGGTGGTGGTCATGCTTCTAGAAGAGAAAACTCTGAAGATGTAGGTTCTAGAGGATAATATTCTAAAGATGATCATGTTTCTGGTGGAAATCATGACTCTAAGGATAGACCTTTTGAAGGAGGAGCTTCTGAAGGAAATTCAGCCTTTGTCGATGATCATGATTCTGAAAGTGAAACTTCTGTAGGCAGAGTTTCTGAAGGTGATCCATCTTTTGAAGATGATATTTCTGGAGGTAGTGGTTCTGAACGAGGTCTAGAAACTAACAAAGGTGGAGCTTCTAGTGGTAGTCAAACTTCTGAAGAAAGTCCAGAAGGAGATATTGTTCCAGAATCAGAAGGAGATTTTGAACAAGTTCAGAGGATACATAGAATCAGAAATATACCAAGGAGATTTACAGAGTTTGACAAGCTGCAAGATACTGAAGGGACTCTGAGGTATGGAGTGTTATTCTCTTCTAGTGTTAGATCAGATGCAGAGCTGATATACTATTCAGACTCTGATTGGTATGAAGACAGAGTTGACAGAAGAAATATTTCTGGATATTTTTGTTTGTATCTGGAAAGTCCTATTTCTCGGTGCTCTAAGAAGCAACTAGTGGTTGCGTTGTCAACCTGTGAAGCTCTTAAGAAGAAAGTGTGGATGAAGGCCATCAAAGAAGAGCTTGATACTATTGAAAGAAACAAGATTTGGAAGATGACTGAGCTTCCGAAGGAGAAGAAAAACATCGGCGTCAGATGTGTTTTCAAGGAAAAAACATTTCTAAATGGAGTATAAAAAGTTGCACAATGTAGCGACCAAAAGCAACTTGCAGATGTTCTGACGAAGAATGTCAAGGCTAAAATTTTTATCCGTTTGAGGGATGAAATTAGTGTTATCAGTTTTGTGTAAATATAAATTAAGGGGTGGTGTTGAAAATTATTTATATTTTAGGAATGCCTTGTTGACTAAGTCTGTTAGAGGGTATTTTAATATTTTATTATACTCTAATATTGTGTATAAATAGCTTAGTAATAGGTAGGTCAATGTATTCATTACTCTTTATTTTGTAGCCGTCATTTAATATATTTCTTTTATCTTTCATCTCTTCTTTGTGCATCAACAGAAACAACTTGATATCAGAGCTGACCACCAAACCGAAATAGTCGGCTCAGTAGTCTTGATACTGGTGGTGAAAACTAAAAAAAATATACAATTTGGATTGAACTGCGTGCTCACTGGTATAGCCATTTACATAAAAAAATTCGGAACAGAGATGGTTCAGTAGGTGGTTCAAAGGAATTGTTACAGGATATTGAACCGGGCAGAACTGGAAAGGACGCGTATGTGTGGATACCAGACGAAGTAAACGTGATCTATGTCAAATCATGTTTCAGATTAATGAACTCAGCAGCTAATCAGAATGAGATAGAGGGTGGTTTGAAGAAAGCAATTATAAATATGTGGAATAAGAATATACCATCGAAAGTACACAATTTCGGTTGGAGATTGTTACTAACTCGCTTGCCCACGGGAGAAGAATTGCATGAAAAGAAAAACAGATCAAACAATTTATCTTGCACATGTATTCATGCTCATTATAAACATTGCACATATAAATCAAACAGCATCTTAATTTCTTAAATTTTCAAAAGAGTTGCAACACAGAGATTTCTCATAAATAACTCAAACTGCGTCCGAGTTCTGAGCTTCACTATCATTATGGCCGCTCGTAAGAGGAGCCAATTCTTCTTTACCAGAACCTTCCTCAGTTTCATAGGCAAATTCACAACTACTAGCCCATAAAACTGCATGAAGCAAAACTACAGGCACACTACAAGTCATAGTAACTGCAAAATGAATACCTGCTTTTGTCACAATCAGCTGAATAGCAGTTGCAATAAATAGCAAACTCGATATAATCCTTTTATCTATGATTCTATGCAGCAAAACTGAATTAGGAAACGCTCTTAACAGTAAACCATAAAGGGTTGTCACATAAGTCATGATAACCAACAGAATCAAGGACACTTTTCGTTGAGGTATGAGAGTTATGAAGAGTATGATCCAAATAAAGAGGGTGTAGTATAACCCCAAATTCCCTAAGTTTCTTATGATACGAGACGCCGCAGCTTCTGCTGTTAAGGGAATGTTAATTGGACAGTAGAATTTGAAATCAGCAAATGGTTTTTCATGTGGTCCTTTTGGTTCAGACACGTTAGTTGTTGGAGATGAAGGTTTTGAGGGTGTCGGTATTCTTTGTGTGGTTCCAAGGTTTGCCATGAAAGCTTTGAAGTGGAAACTCGAAAATCAAAGAATGGATCAGTTGAAAAAGTGCTTATGATGAAAAAGCTTTGTTGATATAACTTGAATCTCTTGAATTATTGATATACTTATATAGAATCAAGTTGAAAGAAGGGACATCAAATTCTCCGGTGACTTAATACTAGTGGAAGACTAAGTCAAATATTATCATAGAATAATTTTCTAGTCAAATTTTATTTGGACCTTATAGTTGTCTATATTACTATCTATGTACAAAACAAATAAAAGATACTATTTAAATAAAATTTAAAAAGAAGCACTTAATTAAGCTCTATTCTACAACTTGCTGTCATGTTAAACTCTTCTATGAGAAGTTATTTTCCAACTTTAACTCTTTCTGAAGTGTTTTGCTATATCTAATTTACAACAGCAAAAAAAAAAATCAACTTTTTGATACTATTAACCCACTCTTCTTTCTAGTAAGTTTGGTAAAAGGTCATTCAATTTTAAGAGTCTATTTTTCAACTAATTATTTTTAAGATATTGAGAGAAATACTCTTTCAAAAATTGTTAAAGTCTTCATGCTATCAATATCTTAAAGAAAAGTCCATAAAGAAAAGTCCAATATATTTATTAACTAGGCACCTTCTTAGTTGTTTCAAACATTGTTTTCAGTCAATTTCTTGGCACAAAGTCACTATAATGCCAAACCATTATGCCAAACTGTTATATATTGATCTTTTTTTCAAGTCAATGCATAAAAGGACTAGAAAATTAGCTCAAGTGATGGATTTTATAAGGACATAAGAATTTCCCTCCAACTTTATCTTATTCAGAAACAGCATTAATGTACATGTAGATGATAATGTACAACACTTTCCCTCTTCGTTTGGGGAAGGAGTTCAGAGGGATTAACTATGCATGTTACAAGCTTTCGGAAAAGACCACGGGATCAATCAATTAATGGTACAAGATAAATATCTTCTTCGCGCGCAACAACTGTATTATTACAATGGAGATTCTTTCCATGGTAATCTATCAAGGCCGTCAACAATGGCTCTTCGAAACTCGTCATTATGGAGAAGGAATGATGAGACATGCCCGCCAGTGACCCATCTCACCTCAGAACCTGGCCAAGCTTTCTGCAGTTCTAGGACCGAGTGTTTCGGAATGTATCCGTCATCCTACAGAACAATGTCGAGGATGATTAGGAGGAGCAATACAATGGAAAATTGATAGAACTAGGAAATTTAAGAAAAGTGTATTATTGACTGTAAATGGATAAAGCTCAAAGCTCTTGCATTGATGGAAAATAACAGAATGCAAGAGAAAACCATGAAACGCAGTCATTTAACAATACAAGATAATCACAAAGATTGAAACAACCATGAAAATGGAAAAGGTATTTGAAAATATGGATGTCATATGTATGTCTCTGCCAATTTTCATTGTACAATATGTACACATTCACAAGGTGATGATGAGATACGGAACTTACAGTGGCGGAGACAAGGATTACAGCATCAGGGTTTTTAGGAATTGGAAAGCGTGTGACATCTGTGAGTGACAGCACATTTCTCATCCGTTCTCTAACCTCCTCGAGAGTCATTACAACTTTCTCAGTTGCAAGGTCATTTCTCAGTGCTTCCCATGCAGTGCCGTGCTTTAAAATCCCTTCACAGAATGCCACAACCGCCGAATGTGGTGAGAGAAAAGGGAGTGTTGCAACAGGTGTAGGGTGAAGTGATCCAACCATTGCAGCATGTACTCCTCCTAGAGTTTGTAAAAAAATTGCCAAGATTATATACAAGGAAAAGCAAAGAGATTTTAAAAGTTCAACTTGTTTCATTTTGAACTCATGAGACAAAGTGCAAATAGTGTTATTACATCTAAAGGAGTATTGGTTCAAGCAATGAATTAGCATAACTAAAAGTTAAATAGGACTGAACATGAAAAACGGTGTTAGCTTTAGCACGCATTCCGAACAAATCTTACCCATACTAAGACCGCATACACCCATCTTGCCAAAACCTGCCTCAGAGTCCAACCAGTGTAAGAGACTGCGCGCCTCTTCGATGGTTGCTCTTCCTAATATAAGCAAGTCACTTACACACAAAAGCTTTGCACCGCGCTGCAGCACAGGACGTCTTTGTCCATAGAATGGACTGCAATTGCATAAATCAGATCAGGAATACAGAACAAATATTAAATATGACTAGTTCAAACCCCCCAAAAAAGGAGGGTTTTATTAATTTCAAAATAAGATCATTAAAAAAGAAACCCCGACCTCTCAAGCACCATGGTTGCGATGTTTTCTTTCACCAATGGACCACCAAGACGCAGTCTTCTTTCAAATGTATGGTCACCGGTTCCTGCATGGGAAAAAGAAGTACAACATTTAAACAAAACAGGAAGGTCTAAGAGACATAATCGAAGCTTGAAAGAAGAATAATCTTCTAGCTTTTTATGCAGAATAACTATTCACAGTAATACAAACTTTTCAAGCTTTCAACATGTTTTTATTCAAATCACACCTTTCATGCAAAGGATCAATTCAATGATAGAGAAGAAAAAGGTAAGACCGGAAAATTAACAGAAAATAGTTAGTTCATGGTTTTCACAAGTGCGGTAATCACTATTCTCTCAATTCAATTACTTGACTCTTTCACAATATGAAACTCTAGAGAAAGAGAAAAAAAAACTATACTTTTCATCTGCATAATCTCTGACCAAATTTGCCATATGCAATTTCAATCGAATGGGATCCACTAAGCAACTAAGTTAAATACCTTAAACAAACTATTATTGTTTTTCATGTAAACGAACAATTCATCCAGAATAACATTCAAGGTATTGTGCTGACCTTTAACAATGTTCTAAACTTTGCCTTTGCAACTTGAAAGGAGTATGATAGTAAGGAACAAAAGATAGAATTATAGAAATAAATGGCTCAACGCGAAGTCAATAGGTTTGTCAAGAGAGCAGCAAACAGAAGCACATGAGCCATGTTTGGATAAACAACTCAATTAAGCGCTTATATCATAAAAACTTATCATATAAGCTATTTATATGACAAAAGATAAAATAACAGAAAACTGTTTTCATTATGGAAATAAGCTATAAACAGTCTCTCAAATAGTCACACAAGTGCTTATTCCGATATCTTTTGCAAACAGGAATATTAGTCTAAGTAATCAATTTAACAAAGTAACAGCATATTAAAAACTCCAAATCCAACCAATTCAAGAAAGATATACAACAGAGTTGAGAATGAAATAAAAACATGATATCTAAAAATTCAAAATTGATCAGAATAAAATCAAACAAAAAATACCTGCAAGATGAACAACGCAAGACATTCTATGAGGCGGAACACTTTTTGGCATGAGAAAAGCCACCCTTGCAATGTGACTCTCAGGTGGCAATGCACCAAGAAGTTGATCCTCACAAGGAGTTCTAAAAACCCCTTCTCTCAAACAAGCCGTTCTAGTCTCCCAAACAGTTTTCCACACGGGTTGAATCTGAAGAGGAGGCCAATTCTGTGCCCCCAAATCAGGGAACAATTGGTTGATCATCTTCTCAAGCATATCAAGCTTTGTACCACCCCATCCTCTTGAGAAAAACGGAGTGCTGATCTTAGTTCTATGCATGAATGCTCCATAAACATGGTCTAATACATAATGAAGCATTCCCAGATTCACCGTCACCATAACTATTTTCCCAAAATTGTAAAAAGATTAAAGTTTGAAACTTGGGAATGACCCAACGAAAAAATGGGGAAAATATGTTAAACCCAGTTGAGAAAAACAGAAAGGGTATTAGAAAAGTGAATGAAAAATCGGAGAGCGGAAAGAATGGCGGAAGAGGAGGATGATTGTGACGTTATGGATTAGATTGGATCGGACGAGGATGAGAAAGAGAGAGAAGCGGTTTCGATTATATATGCTGTGGGCGGAGAACAGGACACCTATTACCCAACAACAACAACAACAACAACAACAACCCAGCTTGAAGTTTATGCTGTCAAGAATTTCGAATGATTCTTTGAATATTAGTATTTCAATTACTAATAATAACGTAACAAAATACTTACATGCACTTATTTTTTCTTTCTATCGTTCTTAATTAAGAGTTTATAGGTAATACATTTTACATGATTATCACAATCCTTAAAAAAAAATTTTATATATATTTTTAAAAAAAAAATAATTTTTTATAAAATTTAACGATTATGATTTTACTGACATTATAAAACTGTTTTATAATATCAGTATATTTCTATTAAATTATTTAATTAAATATTTTTTTCACTACTAATTTAAGAGTTTACTGGTAGTGGCACTCTCAATATAACTCTTAAAAAAACTTTATATTTGATTTAAAGAAAAAGTCAAACCTCTATAAAAATTAATTATTATGATTTTATTGATAATGTAAAATTGTTTTACAGTGTCGATGTATTTTCATTAAATCTCTAATTTATATGAGTTTTTTTTGTTATTTTAATTAATTTTGTAGGAAAAATAAATATTATGTGTAATTTTACAAAATTGTTATTTATTTTACACGAAATTTAAAGAACTAAAAAAGAATAAGTAATAAATAGTATATAAAAGAATATTTGTACTAAAAAATAGTATATAATGTTGAAAATAATTTATATTTTAAGAATGTCTTATTGATTAAGTTTGTTAGAGGATATTTTAATATTTTATTATACACTAATTTTGTGTATAAATAGCCTAGTAGTAGGTCAATGCAATTATTTATTACTCCTTATTTTGTAGTCGCCATTCAATATATTCATGGTGTCTTTCATCTCTCCTATGTGCACCAACAATTGGTATCTAGGGTTCCGATTCAAAATCCACGAGAAAACACGGGAAACACGAGTTAACAGTGAGGTGTTGTGTGATTGAGAGTCACATTTTTTCTGATTCTGTGGGATTTGGGAAATACTGCGTTTTAGTGAGCTTTTGAGTGAATTGCACAAGGTTGGAGATGAACGGAAACGACGA